TACCAGATGAAATATCTTGATTCTGCCAACTGCTTCCTGGCTATGAGCAGCTGTAGGAGCAGCTGGTTTTACAACAGTCACAGAGTAAGTCCTTATTCCGATGCAAGAGAATTCTGTATTCTGTGAATAGCTCATAAGTTTGGATCTTCATACAACTACCTTCATCAACTTTAACTTGAAGATTTGGTGTGTCATGCTTGCTATTAATGTGTCTTATAAATAACCAAATGATCTATAATAGTTTCATCCCTGGAGAATCTTTTTTCAACCATACAAGTCAAGCTTATGTAATTCTTTGCTTCAATCAGAAACTAAAGAGTCATGAGATAGAAGATCAATTATCCTTGAACCAGTATAATTAAAAATCAGTAGAGTTTTAGGAATAATAGATTGAATACAAGAATTTACTCTTGCTCCTTCTTGATATCCCAATAAAATTAAAGAGTTTTTTTGTTTTTGGTTTATTTTTAAAGTATAAGACTGCTAAGATAGTAAGAACATAAGAGGAGACAACAATAACAAGATTTTAGAAGCTGGAAAGTAAACAGAGCTTTCATCAGTGGAGAAACCCAAGACTAACCCAGTTTACCACACAGAATCACCAAAAGACACTGGTGACATTACTGGAAAGAGGGAACAATGGAAAGGATGAGCTAAAATAGAAATAAGAATTAGACAGACTTGACTTTTAAGGTTGAACCTGGTTTAGGAAATAGCTAAATTCCCCAGACCAGGTTCCTACTCTAAACAACTCCTCTCCCATCCTTGTAAAAGTCTCAAGACAGATTCTCTGGAAGGCATACAACATAAGCCTCTAGGTGAGGTCCTAGGCACAATGGGGGTGGGGGGGGGCAGTTACACTGTAATGTAAACTGGAGATTGGGTGAACATATGCCTGTTGAGATTCTCCCCACACCCACAGTCCCAGTCCTTTTCCCCAACTTCGTTTCAGAAAGATAGCTGCCAGGTCCACACCCTCCAGGCAAGGGATTAGAAGATCTTCTGGGGTGATCTGAACAGGAAACTACTGCCGGTGGTTGCCCAAGTAAAGGGCTATTGAGAGTACTCTAAGAGAAGCTACTGCCAACAAGCCCCTCTCATGTGCACCAGGCTTCAAATCAGCCCTGCTCTGTACCCCAAACACACACACACTCTTACATATAGATAGACAAGGAAGGGCCACTTTACAGCTAAGGAAAGATTCTAAAATGAAGGGCAGAGTCCAAAACAAAATCAACTTGCGATGATAAATCACATCACAGGGATACAATCAGCAAAATCTAGACTACAGAAAACTCTTTAGGACAAATGGTCCAGTTTCTTCAACAAATAAATTGCACTGGAGGAAAAAAAGGAGAGGAAGGAGGGAACCTACAGATTAAAAGAGACTGAAAAGAGTTATCAACCAATTCCACTGAATGGACCTTATTTAGGTACTGATTTGAACAATCTAATTGCTTAAAAATATTTATGAGATCATCAGAGTAAGTTAAAAACTGATTGGGTATTTGATGATATTAGAATTATTAATTCTTTAGGCATGACAATATTATGGTTATGTTTTAAAATCTTTATGTTTTAGAGATATATACTGAAATATAAATGGATGAAATATTATGATAGTAGGGATTTGCTTGGAGATAATCTGGAAGAAGGATTGATTAAATAAGCTTGGCCATAGTATGAAGGGAACATGGGAATCTTTCTTACTCTTCTCTCTACTTTTACATACGCTTGAAATTTTCCATATTGAAAAAAAATCATTATAATACCCAGAGAAGACATTAAAATAATAAAACAAACAAAATAGTATAAAAAAGGAACACCGAGGGTATTTTCAAAGACTGCTGGAAATAAAAATAATAACAAAAATAAAACATTCAATGAAAAGTTAGAAAAAAAATGAGGACATATCATAGAAGGTAGAGTGAAAAGTTATGGAAAGAAAAGTAAGAAAAAGATTCAAATATTAGAGGATTAGTCCAGTAGGTCTGAAATCCAAGTAATAATTCCACAAAGAGAGAAAAGAGAAAAGAAGGAAGGCATTCATCAACACAATAATGTAAGAAAATTTTCCCAGAACTTCAGGCTAATGATTTCTGATAGGATTCACCAAATGCCTAATACAATGGGTAAGAAACAGATTCACATCAAGACACCCATAACTGTGACATTTCAAAACACTGGGAACAAAGAGATTTGTCAAGTTTCCAGAAAATAAACAAACAGAAAAAGGCTACACATAAAAGATCAGGAATCAGAAGGGTGTTCGACTTCACAACAGAAATACTGAAAAGTGAGGAGGCCATGGACCTGTACCTTCAAAATTCTGAAGGAAAATAGTTTCCAATATAGAGTTCTATATCCAGCCAAACTGACAATCAAAGGTGAAGGTGGAAAACATTTTCAGACATGTAAAGATGTCAAAACTTTTGTTTCCATTCACCCTATCCTAGCAACAAAACCAAAATAATCCCTGCACCCCCCCAAAGAAAGAAAGACATGGAATACAGGAAGCAAAGGATCTAGATCAAAAAAGAACTGAAGAGAATCTTCAGGATGATGACAAAGGGAGATTCCAAAATAAAAGTTCACTTTCTAGATCTCAGTTCCCTTACCCGTGAAACAGGAAACTCACAACAGTACCTACCTCTTACAGTTGGAGGGATTAAGCATATAACACATAGAGTAGTACTTGGCACAAAGTATGATCTGTAAGAGTTGTTATTATCATTACCAAAGAGTTGACTCTTTATGTTAACATTTAACTCGATATATTATAATAACAAACTAATAAAAAGAAGTCACTGTTATACATGTTCCCGAATTGAAAATATTTCCTTTGAGATGGCTGAAAATAGTCACATAACTATAGGGTTTTGGGGGTTGTAAGAGTTCTGAGATTTTTCTAGTACAATTTCCTTGTTTTAAAGATGAAGAAACTGAAGCTCAGAGTGGCTAAGAAACATAGCTGTTTAGAAGAGGAGATGAGAGTAACATTCAGACGTCTCACTCAATGCACTGAAAATGAGAAATGTGGTTACCCAAGATATGTCTGGGATATCCTCAGAAGGTCAGACACAACAAACATCACCATAGAAATATGCTGTCCAACTCTGTCTGTTTATTCTAAACCTTGACACTCAGCTGAGGACACAGTATATATAGACAGAGGGGCTGCATAGAAAGATCTGACCAGGGTGATAAAGAGAGGAGGCAGCAGTTGGATTTACTGAATTAGGTTGGCAATCAGGAAGAAAATGTATTGTAATCAACGCCCTACAAAGACTGTTTCAATTCTAGGAAGCACACATTCAGTGGATTACTGACAAAAGTGAGATTATCAATCTTCAAGGCTATTGTCAATATGGAGCAGCACAGATGAGGCAAAGATGGGAGTTTCTGTTCCTTGAGTAATGGGATGGTCAGCTGTGCACTTCCATCAGCATCTTACGTCGTTCTAAAGCAACAGACACAATCTGTAGGATTAGTAGCCATTTTGGTCACTGCTTCCATCAGGACTGCACAGCAGTGAGGACTGTCAAGCAAGATCAATAAAGAGCATGAGCAGGGAGTCAGGGAGATAGGATCCTGGAGAAGAGAATCTCTTTGCCTCACTCAGGCAGAGCACAGGGCTCAATTTAATGCAGAGGTGTTTCTACAGAAAATAGCGCCCATGGCAAGCAATGAAATTGCACCTTGTCTAAACATCTGACACTCATTGTTTAGAAAACTTTACCATAATATCAGTTTAAAAATATAAGCTTGTTAATCTTCTACTTAACACGTTATGGCACTACATGAAAATTACAACTGCACCTTCTTTGCTTTCACTATGAAACTTGGTCTGTGATGTGCTCAAAGTCATTTTTTTTCAGTTTCTTTTCTTTCTGTACTCAGCAGAGCAAGATCACACAGTCTGCCTTGACCCACAGAGGCTCTCGAAGATCAAAGTATTAGTTTCAAATTGCTGAATGATCTCTCACAGCTGGCAGTGGAAACTGCAATGGTTAATAGAAACCATTCAGTGGCGCCCCCTTCAAGTGGCACCCAGGGTGTGTGCCATATCTGCTATACTTCAACATGCCTCTGATTTAATGATAAAGTTACCCACTCTTCTAAGTTTAGAGAGAGGAATCGGACCTGGTGAGAATTTTCCTGGTATAAATTCCATGATCTGTCTTAAACTTGTTCCAACTAAAAATAAGCCCTATGTATATCTGCAGAAAGTCCCATTCAACAGTTTTGTCATTTTCTTTTCATTGATTTTCAGAGGAAAACAAAACAAAACAAAACAAACTCACTGCCGTAGAGTCAGATCCAACTCACAGCAACCCCTCCTTGGGTTCCCGAGGTGTTATCTCTACGGAAGTAGATTGCCCAATCTTCCTTTCGAGGAGTGGCTGGTAGATTTGAACTGCCAGCCTTCTGGTTAGCACTCAAATGCCTTAGGCACTACGCCACCAGAGCTCCCCTCAGAGGAAAAGTATATGCTAATTTCTCACCTTTGAAACACAGAAAATTTCTATGCTTCTTGAACAGTTATTCCAAACAAATTTGTCATTATCCTTGGATACAGTACATGCTCCAGAGTAATCCAAATACTAAAGTGCTGACTGACTGGCTTGGTTAAATATCTCTTAATATTTTGAGCATTTAGCAGAGATTTAAAGTGACAGGTAAAGAGCCCTCAATTTTAATAAAGCGCTATTTTCAAATGTTTTAATCCTTTTCACAAATGTTTACCACAGTATTTGTGATTAATAAATAGTTTTCTCTTCCCCTACTTCCCATCAGCATTAGATGCATTCTGGAAAGTCAATCAAGCAAACAATATAAAAGTATGTGTCAGTGATTTAACCAAATTAGCAAAAAAAAAAGAAAGAAAGAAACACATAAACAAATGAAAACTATTAATAAATATTTCCAAGTTCTTCTATAAAAGAAATGTACAGAAAACACAGTTTTAAAGTTGAGAGTAATTCAATGTCAACACTCACAGAAAAAGTAAGATTCCCGTGTTTGCGAGGGCAAAGGCGAGTCCCAAAATCCCACTGCCCATAATGGCGTTGCTGAGGTTAAAAACAGACATGCCTAAGGAGGTTGTTCCTGGAATCTGAACAAAGAAAGAGACATTCACTCTAAGCAAAAATAGAAATAGTCTCCAAGAAACTTCAAGCCAAACCCTTTAAAGCACTATTCAAAATAAAACCCTTCCTTAGTGGACTAGTTTTTTTTTTTTTTTTTTAATGGGAGTTTCAGGAGAAAATGCATACAGTATGAAGAATATCCTGGCGAATATAAATAGTTATGCTTTCGTTCTTTGCTAAATGAATTATAAACATCTGTCCCAATTTATGCGATTTAAAAAAATAAGCATACTTTATTATTATAATGGCACTTACATATTCATCACATTTCTTTTTTTCCAAATGGCTGTTTGTGAGACTTCTTCTACTTTCACGATCAGAAATAAACTTGCTGTAAAGACATGTATAATACATTTAACCTCATGATAATCATTTGAAGCTTAACATCAAGACTACAGTTTATTACTTACCAAAACATATTACACACAAAAAGTTAACAGTCAGTTCCCTAAGGATTTATAGCCTTATTCAAGGCTATTCCTCGGAAGGAAGGTTGGGCAACCCTACTTCCGTAGTGATACTGCCTCGGAAACCTAAAGAGGGGTCACTATGAGTCGGCCGACTCGACGCACGTAACAACAACAACAACAAAGGTGAAACTAAGGAATTATGGGTGGGGCCCAAGGTATGTGGTCCATAGTTAGGGTCAGAGCCAGGGCCTTTAAGAAAGCATGGGATTTACAACTACTTTTTTTGTGTACCAGTATTAGTTAGTTGTCTCCATATTTGTTTTGCCAAATAAACTGTAAGTGCTCTAAGGGCAGGTACTCTGACTCATTCATTTTTATATCCCTCACTCTATCCAGACCAGAACAAAACAATGCAAATAGTATGTGTTGAGCTTGAGATGTAAAGAAAAACAACCATAAGTCAAAAAGAGTTACACATTATTAATCATTAAATGATAAATTAAAACACTGCATCCAATATAATTTTTAAAGCTTTTTCTCTATTTGGAAAAGTAGATAATGTCAAGGGTACTAAAAAGCTAGCATTTAAAAGAATACTGGCAATAGGGTTCCTTCTGAGCTCACATTCTTGGAATATCAAATTTTAAAATAGGAATTCCCTCTCCCCTACAAAAGAGAAAGCAACTCTTTCCCCTCAAGCATTCATTCCAAAACTAAAAATCCACTGCCATTAAGTCAATTCGAACTCATAGTGACCCCCATAAGGTTTCCAAGGCTGTAAATCTTTGCAGAAGAAGATTGCCTTGTCTTTCTTCTGCAGATTGACTAGTAGGTGCAAACTGCCAACCTTCTGGTTAACAGCCTAATGCCTTAACTAATGCACCACCGGAGTGCCTTAAGCATTTATTCAGCACATGTGATATGCAAGTCACGGGTCAGGTGATGGGAGAGAAGTGGGGTATGTAATTAGTCATATAGACACTATACTACAAGAGTTGAAACTAAGGAATTATGGGTGGGGCCCAAGGTATGTGGTCCATAGTTAGGGTCAGAGCCAGGGCCTTTAAGAAAGCATGGGATTTACAACTTAAGTTCAAATTCTCACTAGCTCTGAGGGCCTGTGCATACTACTTAATTGTGAAATGGGAGGAAGACTATTACATTATCCCATAGCATTACTGAGACAATTAAATAAGAAAGCACACATACAGCATCAATATAGTGGATCTGCTGGATCCATAATCAATACCCATGGAAGCAACAATCAAGGAATCTGACGTCGTATTGCATTGGGCAAATGTGCTGCAAGACCTCTTTTAAAGTGTTAAGGAGCAAAGATGTCACTTTGAAGACTAAGGTGCCATGGTATTTTCAATCGCCTTACATGCATGTGAAAGCTGGACAATTAATAAGGAAGACTGAAAAAAAGTTGATGCATTTGAATTGTGGTGTTGCTGAAAGAATTGAAGAATGCTGAAAATACTATGGACTGCCAGAAGAATGAACAAATCTGTCCTGGAAAAAGAGCAGCCTTACAGAAGTGAGACTGGCCAGACTTCGTCTCATCTACTTTAGTCATGTTGTCAGAAGGGACTATTCCCTGGAGAAGGATATCATGCTTGGTGAAGTGGTAGGTCAGCGAAGAAGGGGAAGACCCTCCACAAGGTGGACTGCACAGTGGCTGCGACGATGGGCTCAAGTATAGCAAGGATTGTGAGGATGGCACAGGACCAGGCAGTGTCTCGTTCTATTGCACATAGGGTCGCTACGAGTCAGAGCTGACTCAATGGAACCTAATAACAACAACAGTGCCTGGCACAGAGTAAGTGTAATACATGTCCTTCGGTCATTACCATCAGTGAAGAAATGGGATTTGAGTTAGGGTAGGAAAGATTCAGGAGGAATCTTAAGGTAAACTACGTGCAAATATTTGGAAGTGGGAATTCAAAATGATCTGTTGCTGCTGTTGTCGTTGAGTGCCACTGAGTGAATTCCAACTCACAGTGACCCTATACGACAGAAAAGAACTAACCCATAGGGTCACATAGGCTGTAATCTATATAGGCACATATCTCCAGGCCATTTCTCCTGCAGAGCAGCTGATAGGTTAAAATTGCTGACTGAGTCAGAAATAGAGCACTTTAACCACTGTCTCCTTCAAAATGCTCTAAGTATCATCAAATATATTCAATGTTAATATCAGAAGTTTATGGCATAAATTTCTAATTTTTAAAAATTCCAATTAAAGAAATACACACTACTGTAGCCAAAAGATGGAAACAACCTAGGTCTCCATCAACTGAGGAATATCCATACATACACACAATGGAAGACTATGCAACCCTGAAGAATAACTTGTTGTTGCTGTTAAATGCCGTTGAGTTGTTTCCGACTCATAGCGACCCCATGCACAGCAGAACGAAACACTGCCTGATCCCGCGCCAGCCCCACAATCCATGCTATACCTGAGCCCATCATCGCAGCCACTGTATCAATCCATCTCCTTGAAGGCCTCCCCCTCTTTCGTCGACCCTCCACCCTACCAAGCATGACATCC